GGTTACTTGTTTTTGACTCGCAAATATCCAGCCTGCTTCTATGTCGAATTGAATAATTCATAAACTCCACGCATCCGTACCGAAACACTTGTTTTTGTTCCCGATTCAGAGATATGCGACTATTGAATTTGAATTCGTTTACCTTGCAAACACGTGGAGTACAAGTATTAATATTATAGCTGTCGTCCGTGCCTTCTTCAGCGTGCAATTATAAAATATACTTATTTTGTAGCGTGTATGTTTTTTCAGACTTTGTTCTACATCTATGTCAAATTTCAGCGAGATCCATGCAGCCGTTCTGGAGATACCTTCTAACAAACATCCATCTATCCTTACGTCCAAACATTCGCATTTAAAATATTAGTAAGTTTATTAAGATTTCATGATGAATCGTCTAACTCCTTCAGTCCCTAAGTTGTCTCCTATAAAAAAATAGGTAACAAGAATAGGTAATAGGCAGGGTCCTTCAAGAAGCGAGCTTATCACTATCTCAATGGCCGGCAACGCATCTGCGATTCCTCTGGTATTGCTGATGTCCATGGGTGTCATTGAACACCTCGGTGTTCCCGCTACTTGTTTGCCCCCTTCTGTTATATACAAAAAAACTCTGTTCTTGATTAAAATATCAGTGTATATAACTCTTAGCACGTGCAAAAACTCGTATGTGTATTGTTAAGTTGCATATTAAACTTTCTTATTATGAAGAAGCGATCTCGTGTCGGGAATGTGCGATGTTCACTTGTCTCGCTAAGAGCCCTTCACGCCGCGTCTCGGCTAAACAAGCTCCCATTGTGCACTCGTACCAGGTGAAAATAAAAACTCACTCTAAAACTAACTACATATTTAAAACTAAAAGAAAATGTTTTATTAAGATTTTTGTGTTGAATCTAGCGCTTGGCCATGATCCTACCTGACTTTATGTACGTATCAGGTCGAAAGATGGTATGGTTTACTTTATTTTATACGTATTTTCCAAATGTAACCTTTTTAGTTTAATCAAGCCTCTTTAACAGGAATAATGCTACAACATTGTATACAGCGTAGTTAATATGTAATCTTATAAAAGCTTTTAGTTCTCGGGTTAGATCGATAGTGTGTTAAAATCGTCTTATTAATGTTACGGTTTTTAATATTTATGTGTTAATTCTTTTTGATCTTAGCTTTAAACGCTATAAATTTTAAATCCCAAAGCTTTACTACGACTTCCTATCTATCTGCTTCATATATATTAAAGAGAAAATTGTCTTTGAATAAGAAATATGTTCTCTAAAATCCATTGCCTACATAAATAAAACATTCTATCATAACTCTTCCATTTACTACTCATAGTTATTTAGTGGACACATAAGCAGTCCCTAAGTGTAGATTTCACACATTTCAGTGTAGTAATTATTGGAAGACTGATAAGCCTTGTAATGAAGAATACTTCCACCATATTCTGCTGATATTCGAAATAGCTTACTTACCACGTTCTACTCGTTCAGCAGTTGTGGTCGGAAAAGCAAAATGGATTATTAAAATTTAATAAAGACAAAGCTTTACGGCTTAAAACGTTGATGTATTAATATAGTCTTATACCTTGACATAGCAGTACCGTATATAAAGACAACATTTTAAATTAAAAACTTAGTGTAAAGCAGTTGCATCAGCCGAAAAATTTTAATTAGCGAGAAAATTTAAACATGAAACTAGAGATTTTTAGAACGTTTTTCCACTAGCGAGACTCGCCATGCGCGACTGGTACTTATCTCTATAAGACGTATGCGTACTGTTTGCACTGGCTCATGGTATATGTATTACTCGTTAGTATACTAGCTCGCTTAGTGGAAAAAGGGTTTCGAATGAATAATATAAATGGAGTGCGTCACTGGTATTCCCCTGCGCTGCGCACTCCGATTCATTACATAGCACGAACCGCCTTATATAACGCCGAGCTGCTATTGCCTCCGTAGTTCCAATCAACTTTTTGCTGTGGCTTTTGAAATGTTGGAATTCACGATGAAAATGTAACTAGTTGAGGACCGAACTTCACTATGCTTTGAATATGAATCAAAATTTTTATTTAATCCAAATTGTAAAAGTCTTTTCAGTATTAAAATACAAGAATTAAAAAAAAAGCAATTCGATGCAACTCCCCGAATATTTTATGGGATAAAACAATCATGAGTACATAAATATAGAAATTAGGACTGTTCATCGCTAATAATTTGTGACATATTGATGATATAAAATAAAATGACGTAAAGCAATTAACATAACATTAACCACTTGTAGCACATCGAGAAGTAATACACCGGTTTCCTCTAAGTGCATACAATCTCGTATCGGATGACGCTGGCGTACAGCCAGACACTTGTCTCTTCATTTAAACCCCAAATGCCTGCACAAATCTTGAGATAAACATAAGCACTGTAGGCTATAGATAAATGTAACCTTATTCTTATGTTTTCATGTAACCTCTACGATGTACAGAATTTTAAGTATAGCCGCAACTCAATTTTTTGTCTCTTTGAAAAAATCTAATACTGAGATCTTAGGTCGACATCAGTCTTTTTAATTTTATAGATGCGAAAGTTTCGATGTATGAATGTCCATATAACTGAAGTGCCTGACGCTTTTTGTTTTTAATTCAGAATACGGTATTATATTACCTTAAGCTTTTTGATTGAGTATTTTAAAAAGTTATTCTCGACGACCAATTAACACACTTGTAGCCGATAAAAGATGCAATTATTCCGGTACTTGTTATTTACCTGTTGACTACAAATGGAATTGTTGCTGCGGGCAGCCGTCCAACTGGTTCTTTAGAAGATGCCAGTTTCATAATAGTGGTAATAATGTTATATTTATTATTCAATCTTGAAACTGAAGCTATTTAAGTATTTACTGCAATATTTTTTGGTAAACTTTTTAAAACTTCTGCAGTGTTGCTACTGACGCAAAAAAGTGGGCATAGCAAATTAAAAGTCCTTGGCCAGAGATACACCGAGGTGAAAAAAGTTGCTGGACCAAGCCAAGGCCCACAAAGGGCTGTAGAGCTAGAAGAATTAGAAGAAGTGTTGTTACTAGTCAGTTACTCTTTAGAAAATGCGGCCATTCTCGTGTTACTTCTAACGTTAGCTAAAGTAAAATACATGATACACGAATAATTACTACCAGAGTTTATGTAGTGCATTCCGCACGTCAATCGGTTTTTTATCTTCTATAAAAAGTCACCGTGTGCATACTTCATGGTACGTGTATTTGGGTCATCACGTAGCGTTGCGGTATTGGTCACATGCACCATTCAAAACCAATATGGATGGAAAATCATATCTCATACTGTATTTTAATATTTATGATGAAAAGATGAAAATGTTACGATAACAAAAAAAAATAATTAAAAAAAATAAAGTCATAAAAAAATTCGCGATAAAATATTTCGTTCGCGTTTATCATAGCCGATCTCGTGACCTTTAAAATATTATATTTTCATTAGAATACGTGAATAAAAATGAAAACACTTCATGTGCTTGAATGATATGTAAACTCCTTATTATGTAAAGGAATATTATATTCGGATTTTTGTTTAAATTTATCTTTATAAAGATTGTATAATGTTCGATCAATTCGAATTAAATGTACTATCACAAGTGTGCGCGAGTGTACACGAGTGTCGTTGTCGGCGCGCTCTCGTTACTGTTTCCTTATAAGACTTCGATAAGAGCACGATTGCAGTTTTATCAAATATGTCGCCTCCGAGCTGACATTCATACTTATATCTACTGGTTGACTTGTACCGCAAATTGAATTAAATTACTCGTATACTTGGTCTAAACATAATAATTATTGTTAATCGCTTAAAAATATTAAATTCCATGTGTTCTTACATACGTCTGTCACGAAATCGTACTGAGGTCCGAGCTCGTATATTTGTGACAATCGCTTTCGTATCGTCATCCTCAAAAGAGGATTGAAGATACATAAATATGTCAAAATTAGTATGAGCCTTTTTGGTGCACTTTCCCGCCCGGCAGGGGCGCTGCTCAAATTTTGTCGAAAATAGGATAGCGATTGTAACAAATATGCTAGGCAGACTGTTACTTCAACATAATTATCCTGTGTATTTTTATGAGTATGCATGTTACGACAGGTTTGTTTGGAATCCGGAACCTTTTTGTTTTTATTAGTACATCTTAAAAGGCAAAGGTTGTCAATGCCTCTTATGTAAAGCTCCTATTGCCACGTATCCATAAAGAATGCAATGCGCTTGAATCATGCGCTTTGATGTCTCATGTTAACTATAATTAATTGTCCTTGCCCACCAATTGTCCTTGGTACGCTCAGGTCAAACACTACGTCAGTATTAATTTAATAGAACTCTAGACCATAAAGTAAAGGCAAAGTGTGTCTCTTGTTTCATTCTAGTTTAAATAATGCATAATTAGGGTTACTAGGATTTACTAGACACGGTATTTTATTCCAGTTTGGTTTTAATAACTTTTGTACGGTTAAAAATTCATACATCCTAAGAGGTCAAAGTCCTTAATAAGACAGCTCTGTGTTTTCTGCCTAAGCCTTCAACTACCGAGCGTCACCTTTTTTTTCATATTGATAAAGTGCATTCTTAGTTGATGCTGAGTGACGTCGCAGCGATAACTTTTTCTCCTTCAATTATGTTTGCAAAATATTTGACTTATCACAGATATGTAACGATGAATGCCAAATTTATCTTTTACGTTCTCTTAATATAAAATTTATAAATTCGTAAAATGATTGCAAAAAGAGTGTTCGTATTTAGATGAACACATCTTCTTCAACAGAAGTAAATTGAAATGCACACACCAATAGGATTTCATCTATGGTTCTTGTTCATATTTCTTGATATTATATTTCAAATTATTCAAGTTATTATTTTTATCGCCCTAATTATTGTGTATATTTTCAAACTCCGATAAAAATCTTTTATAAATTATAACATATGTTAAAGCTTATGATATATAATGTTTCTTTCTTTACAGCTTCCTTGATGACCTGGACCGGTTAGGCGCCAGGGACTACCAGCCCACCGAGCAGGACATCCTCAGGACCAGGGTCAAAACCACCGGCATCGTTGAAGTTCATTTCTCCTTCAAAAACCTTAATTTCAAGTTAGTATACATATTTTACTTTGATATAAATGGAGACATGTATTTGGTTAATAAATCTATTTACATTTTCCTATCACACATTCAAGACCATTGTTCATCATCATCATTAGCTTACTATATTTCTCCTATCGACAGGCTTGGAGCCTACCCTAGATTATTGGTGACTAGACCATAGTCAACCACTTTGGCTCAGTGCGGGTTGACCTGCAATTTAAAAGTCAACTGTTTAACCCCTCAGCCACCGACGATCTAACATTATTGTTATCTCTGTTTCTTTTATCGAGAATGAACGAGATGGTAATCTTGTTAGGTCTTATTAAGACAGAGAAGAATGGTGTAACGTTGCATTGTTTCAGATTATTCGACGTGGGTGGTCAGCGGTCTGAGAGAAAGAAATGGATCCATTGCTTCGAGGATGTGACCGCGATCATATTCTGTGTGGCCATGTCCGAGTACGACCAGGTGTTGCATGAAGACGAGACGACGGTATGTAACTAACCACTTAACAAATAAAATTAATAAAACTGTTCGTGCTAACATCTAAAATATGAGAGAATTTAGCTGTCTCTTGAATAATCTTGAATCTTTAACTGATTTTTTTTCTAATACATATATTAAAACAGTATTATAATAATAAAGTTTTTAACTATGTTTTATTATAAATAAACAATTTTTCCTTTTAGTGAGGTATTTCCATTATTATATAATTCACTACTTGTTACTCTAATAAATTGTTATGTATTAATCACAAATGAATATAAAAAAATAGTTATTTTTTCCTGCAGGACAATCACAGGCTTACGCATATTTTGCCTACAGATGACATAAGACACTCCAGTCAACCGAACTTGTCTAAGAACTCCAGCAACCCAATATTAGTGCTGATATCTGCAATTCGAGTTATATAGTCTTGTTATTATAATTAATAAAACTTTGTTATCGTTTCCAGAACCGTATGCAGGAGAGTTTGAAGCTGTTCGACTCTATCTGCAACAATAAGTGGTTCACCGACACCAGCATCATCCTGTTCCTCAACAAGAAAGATCTCTTCGAGGAGAAGATACGCAAGTCGCCGCTCACCATCTGCTTCCCGGAGTACACGGGTAACATAACATTTAGGAGCCTAAGTGTTCTTTCAGACTATGCTCACATCCATACAGCCGTTCCGGAGATACCTTCTAACAAACATCCATCTATACATATATCTAAACAATTTTTAACAGTGTTAGAGCCCGCTTTAACATCTTCGCACGAATTGGCCCTGCTGGCCTGGTGAAATACCACGACCACACAGAAGACAGGCGTCAAGTGGAAGCTATTCCGCGTTTCGTCTGATGAGTGTACTTCTTGTAGGCCTAATTTAGTCCTCTTTCCCTTCCCACCCTTTTTCTTATAAGGAAAGGATGGGAAGTAAACTTTCTGGATGCGAGGATGCATGGAAAGGGAATATATTTTCTTTCCGTGCATCCTCTCCTCCGTCCATTAAAGGTAGGCAACGCATATGCAATTGCGTATGTCTATGGGCAACGGTCTCTTCGCTATTTCAGCGATTTTAGGTGGCCGCTCGCTCGTTTGCCACCTTATGATATAAAAAAAATCTAAACACAAGTAAACAATATTATAAGATTCAAATTGTCAAAGTTCCTTTATTAGGTTAGTAGCAATGACTCTCCCTTACAGAGATTTCTCGCTTATCCAAATTGGACTTTATTTTGCAATGATTGCATGACTAACGCTTTTATGTTCGTATTTTCACGACATATGTTCGTTGAATGACACGAGATTAAGCAATTCGGATACCTTCCGATATAAATTGCTGACGTGAATTGAATCAAAAATAGATTATTATCTGTGTAATGTTCACACGTCACGCGATGGCTGTTAAACTGATTTACACAAAAATCAGAGATCCTAGTGGGCAGAAAGCAAAGCTATAGTAGTTAGACATGATAATAGTTTGGTGCGGCCCGGGATGCGGGCCCGGAAAACAACAACAACGATAAAAAACACGAATCGATTTCAAAAGTTTTATAAAACTTTCAAATGGTCCAAAGAGCACATTGGCGACGCAACGCTGGCCTGTATCTCACTGAATTTATTTTATTTCAAACCGTTATCATTAGGTATCATACTATGTATTATGTTAGAATGTATATAACAAAATTGTATATACATTGTGTTCTTACAGCAACAAATGATGGCATTTTAAGTAGTTGAACAAAACAATTGAATACCATACATCGCATATCTTGAGAAAGAAAAAAAAGGAAAATATGTCAATAACGTTTTTGTTCCCATATAACCAGGAGCGCAGGAGTACGGCGAGGCGGCGGCGTACATCCAGGCACAGTTCGAGGCCAAGAACAAGTCGACCACTAAAGAGATATACTGCCACATGACGTGCGCCACCGACACCAACAACATTCAGTTCGTGTTTGACGCAGTCACTGACGTCATCATAGCCAACAACCTGCGCGGCTGCGGACTCTACTAGGCTCACAACAAACGTACGCGCGCCGCACACACGCCGCACACCCGCCGGGGCTATTCTGTCACATTACGATACAATATCACATTATATATTCCACCAATTGAAACTATAAACTTCAATGTATTCTGATGCCCGTGGCTTTTTTCGCTCTTAAAAATAAAGTGTCATCAACATACTTATCGTATGTTTTCAGTTTAAACACGGCGTTAGAACATGATATGACGAGAACATTGTATAAGTTCGAAAATTGTTCATTGGTGATCCAAGTTACATAATAGCCCCCCGGGACGGCGGTGCGACCACCGATAATGTGAACACCGCAATTGAAAACGACGCCGCTACGAGCGTGTTTGTTCGCTTTTTTGTGTTTTATAAAACAAACTCGACTATTAAAACTAAATGTTTAGCTTCATAAGAAATTTAAATCAGTAAGATAGTTATTGCGTTTGGGGAATCGTTCAGAGATCCAATTTAATTGATTTTTTTGTCACAATTGGTCATTTTATTAGGTAAAATTGAAATAGAACGCGTTCTCGTGGTCGTACCGGCGTCGTGACCACACCAGGACGGCGGCGAGTCGCTCCTCGTGTTTCGCGAGCGCGCTGTCACTCGTTCGCTGTCGTCAGTGTGTGACGCAGCTGAGCCTATATCATATATTTTGTATGGGAAGTGCTTACACTGGTTATACCGCCGATGTGCAGATATCAGCCGCGCGGCTTCGACGCATCCTCTATGTTTCAGTGCGCGCTCGCGACCGAACCATCGCGACTAGATCCATTACGTGAACTACCCAGCCATCTCCGTAAACGCTTTTTGATACACGCTTAGTGTTTTTTTTGTATGATTTTTAAAAATCTTGGAAGATATTTTATCATGATTGTTCTTCTCGTGAAAGTGCATAAAAAATTACTTCTGGTATTTTTTAATTATAAAGTACTCATTTAAGATAATGATTGCGATCAGCGTATTCTAGTTAATTCGTATTCAATTCTAAATTTCGGTGCTATGTGTTTTGTATGATGATTTTTGTCTATCTGTGATCTAGTTGCGACGCTTCGAGTACGATAAATCGCGCCGCGTTCGGTTCGCGATTCAGCGAATGACGATTCGACACGATCGGCGGCGATTCTGTTCGGGAACGATTGGACGTTCGATTCGTCGGCTGTGTGAGCGAGCGCGGCGCGAGGTCGCGGGCCGCAGCAGCAATGTGCTTATATACTCACTCTCTTACGGACCAAACACAGAAAGGAACCAATAAATTAGCGCAGAAAGTCAGTAGCAATTCGCGGGTACGTCACGGGCCTACTTTACTGATGCAGATCATTCCATTCTTAGGTATTATCAACGAGAACATTATTTTTGTAAACTTTTGAATGCACAACTGTACCCGCTAAGTCGGATTAAGGAGATGTCATTTATTTTGCATACTTTGCAACCTATACTGTACTATCCCCCCTCCCCCCACGATAACTATACGTTTTAAGTTAAGCCTCATGTTAAGCACAAAATGATTAATTACTTGTAAGAGCATGGATTCGTTATGCCATATAAACTATCTTTAATATTTTTGTGTTCATATTTTTTCTATATCACTTTACAATAACCTTAGGTGTAGTCATATAAGAACTACTATTATATTGTATTGTATTCAATTATTACAATCATGTTAGATATTTATTTGACGTAGCGTGTTCCTGTCGGACAAGATGTAATGTGACATGTCACTTTTGATTTTATATTTAAGTGAAGTAACCAATGTTTGTATCGATGTTATCTTGTATCGTGCTGTCAGTCGGTCAGTCAGTCAGTCAGTCAGTCAGTCAGCACGCCGCGCCACGCCGTAGGTTCTATTGACATCATATGTAAGATATGTGAGTATATAAACTTTGTGTACACTCGCGATTTTGGCGTAATCAACACTATACATATATATACTGTATAACATAATTTATTAATAATAATAAAATAAAAATCTTACTTTTAAGCATTAGGGCAGTAATTGTATCAATAACATTAATAAATAATGCAATTAGACAGTAACCTTTACTATTGTCATAGTTAGGTGATTATTCTTTTCATTTTACGTTTATGATGTATGTAAAAAGTGATTACTTAAATGAAAATGTAACGCCTACACAGAGCGCGCGGGCCGCCTCACACGACACGATATCCCAACACATCGCGAAACATGTTGCGAGACATTTTGAATTAACACGTCGTCGGTGGCCCGCGTCCCGAGCGACGCTCGCTTGTTGCTAGGTAGGTTTTTTACTGTTATGTAACAATATGTGTATGTAAAATCGAACTAATTATATTATTAGCGCAGTTCTACTCCCGACCGGGGATACATTTAAGCTTCACTATATTTTAAAACTTTCTTCCGAGGCGGAGCTAGGAGCCGATATACTCGAGTGGTCTCGCTGAGTGTCCGTCGGCTTTTAGTTAGGTTCCAGAATATTCCTCATATTGCATTTAAGGGCGACCTTTTGTACTAAGCGAAAGTAGATCGGAACATTGTCAGGGGACATTTCACAGTTCCACATCGAGTGGGCCAACACTCGTGTGTTGCCGGCTATTCCTCCAGTGAGTTAACTTAATGCATTTCAATGTGTTTCTCCGTCGTTGGATTTTAACTCGTATTGCTTTAATATTTCGAATGAATGGGATGTAAATTTTTGTACACTGCCGCATTATTTATTCGCTCCAATCACGTTTAGTTTATAAGAGTGGTGACAGTGACAGACCGCGCCCCCCGCGTCCCCCGCGACCCACGCGGGCAAGTCCTCCCCGTGATTGTCTCGACGCTCAAAACGATCCATTGAAGTGAGTGACGTGGTTTGTGCAGAAGCTTCTTTTTTGAAGACTGAAATGTTGCGGCTCAAATGTTCTCGTGCTTTATTAGATTCGCCCCGGGGGTAGGTTATCGGAGTGTGTTTTATAAGGAAATTAGCGAAGACGGCATAGATCAGCTTAGATTCGGTAAGTTACGGCATTGGAACGCTACCCCCGGCTACAAGTTAGCGACGTTCAATTGTATTTCTTTTGACATTGTATATGCTGAATTTGTCACAATTGTGTCGATTTAATGACGTCATCACCATGCTTCATTCGTATTTGCCAAAGTTAATACTAACCTCACTATTTATACCTTACTATATGTACTTCGATGGCTAATTAATGTGTGAGATGCGCGGTAAGGGTGGAGCTCGCCGCTTCGCTGTGTGCTGAGGCACTGTCGATGCCGATGGCGATGTAGCGAACTTTGTCTTGTTAGAATCGATGACATGTAACTTGTAGCGCGGCGGCCGCTCGCTCCGCGCGGTTCCCGTTTGAACAAACGTTTAAGAAAGTAAAATTTTTAGTCACTAGTGGGTAATTTTTGAATGTGATTCAATCTTATCTTTATTTTTCTATATCGAGTGACATCTTTTAACTTTATTTCTATTATGTTCCAATTTATATTTTGTAATGCATTTACTGAAAGCGATACATTTAACCAACGATGTAATTAAAACAATATTTTTCTCTTTTTTGTATCTCGTCTGCACTGGAATTTTTTATTGAATTTACTATAAATGTACTTTTAAGTGTATAATTTTAAATAATTACTGAAAATGATTATATTCTAATTTTTATGTTCAAATAAAATAATTTAGTTTTATTTTACCCTTCCCTTTTCCCACATTTCTTTAATATAAGCTTGACTATGAGATCCGTCTGATGTTGCGGGGATGTGAGAATAATTTCCACAATGGAACTTTTGGGACATATAGCGTGCTTGAAAGTAAAATATTCTGCAAAAGGATGAGTTAATGTAACAATTCGTAGATTAGCGATTTATAATTTTGCTTAAAAAAATAGGCTTTGTAACAAACATAAAACCTATTTTTATTATCTGTTTAGAAAATTAATATTTTAAAAATGTCAACAATTTTATATATCTGGCAACCCGGGCAAAATACCTCAACTGTCAAAGTCAGAAAGAAAAGCGAAACGGCTTGTTGTGTTTGTGGATAACCTTAATAGTTTCTTAAATAAATATGAAAGACGTTATTGATGTGATGGCTCTACAAAGCAGCAGACGCGAAAGAAGATTGCCAGACTACCGAAGTACGTCCGGTCATAGTATGGCCACCAACTTTATATTTGAGTGCGGCATTAAACTCGGTTTGCAGCCAGCTACAGTCGCAACCGCTGCAATATTTTACCATAAGTTTTTTAAAGAAGCTGATAAAAATGATTACGACTGCTATGTTATATGTACAGCTTGTCTGTGCGCAGCGGGAAAATCGCGAGATGAACCGATTCGGCTTCGAGACGCAGTGAACGTAGCTCATAATTCTATCAACCGTGGAGCGGGACCTTTGGAGTTAGGAGAAGAATATTGGTCAATGAGAGGCGCAATAGCTCAAGCTGAACTGCTAGTTCTGCGTTTGTTGGGCTTCAACTTAGATGTGCCGTCGCCACATCGATATTTGTTGCATTATTTACGGTCCCTGCAGGAATGGTTTCCCGCATCACAGTGGCGCAGTGCACCCATAGCTCGCACAGCAATGGCTTTCTTACAAGACTTCCATCATTCCCCTGCAATACTCGACTATAGAGCGCCTCATGTAGCAGTGGCTTGCTTGACATTGGCACTACATGTTCTGGGAGTGTCGGTTCCTTTGGCCTCCACACTAGATGATGATGCAGCTTGGTATTCTGTATGTATTAAAATAATTACATTTAAACAACTACATGGTATTGAAAACATATATCTGTAGTTTTTACAAGTGTCAAAGATCAGATAATAAAAATGCCTTCATTTTCTCTTCCAGGTTTTCACTAAAGATCTGCAAAAGGAAAAGAATTGGGAAATAATGGAAAAAATTATGCAAGTATATAGCAGAGAACCAGAACCTATATAAAAATCATTTCACACATTTCCTTATAAATGTGCATGTATTGTGTAGTACAATTTAATTTAATAAATTGTGACCAAATAAGACTGGTTTTATTCACATAATATTCTCAACAGTTTAATAGGTTTCTTTACTATGTAAAAATGGGTTTTTGATGGTTCGTCACATCCCCACCGAGGAGTTTGGAGTATGGCCCAGTGTGGGTCGACTTCACACATCTTTATATTCTTCACAGATATGTGCAGGTTACTTTACAAAGTTTTCCTTCACCGTTTCTGATCACTAATTTTGTTATAAAGATGACAAAAAACATATTCATATATAATTTTTCAGTAATAAAATACCACATTTAATTGCTGCACATGTCTTGGGATTCAAATTTAGTTTCAAGCGCCCTTATTCACCCAAACAGAAATATATAAATTACTGCAAGAGTTTGTTATTGATTCAAAAACATTAACATTCTGAAAACAGACTCCGGGACTGATATAAAATTGCTTCAAAGCTATGGGTAGGTTAAATGAACAACGCCATTGTAGATCTACAAACAAATATAATTCAGTTTTCTAACATTTTACGATACATAATTTTATAAATGTACAGGGTAAGCTCATGACGTGGGTAAAGCAGCTAAACGGCGTCGGACTGACACCGGGCGACAGATCTGAGATGCTGATATGCTTTGACTTGTGGACAGAGGATGACTTAAAATCTAACGTGGAGATGCGCCAAAACAATTTAAAAGTGCCGTCAGATTACTAATCTATATTAGACATCGATGACTAGTAATATATAAAAGGATACGCCAATTTCAAGCGTACTTCTATTTCCATCAATAACGGTAAAGATTATATTTGGAATAACGAAAAAAAAATAACATTCTGTGCGTCCAAATGGAAGACAACAGAAATATTTAAATATAAAAACAATCAACATAAAGTTTGTGCTTTATTATAATATTATTTGTTGAATTTAAATAATAGTTAATATACCATATAGTTAGCGTGTGGGTATAGAGAAAACATTATATTAGAGAAAAAACATCTTAAGCTATTCAATTTTATTCTATAAATAATTTCACATCGAAGAAAATTTTCATGTAAACGACAAAAATGACATTAATTAGTTATTGCACTATACGCTAATAACTACGGGGATCAACACGTCGAGGTAACGGTCACTCGCCTCACCTGAACATAACAAACATGTTACATAATACATATGAAACTGAAAAATTTATCAAGTGATGTCACCAGGATATTGAATTACTAAAACCAAAACTTTAGACAACCATCCAAAGACTAAGAAAATTTTAAAAGGCTTAACTGTAAGCCTCGATTTGAGAAAAATTAAACCCAATAACTATGGTAATATTTTTAAATAATAAAAATAAATAAAATTCTAACATAAATTGTATTTTAATTAAACTCAAACAAGTTAGAAGTAATTAGTAACATTCATAATTTATGATTACTAGTTATCCTCACAAGATCCACATTCAGACAGACAGTAAATACACATAGAAAAAGGCAGTTTAAGTAACACACGCACACACACACAATTTATGTTATTAGAAAAGAGACAAGGATTTATACTGAATAAGAAAGAGGCACTTGAAGTGAAAAATAATACAAGAATTGAAAATATTAAATTTCAAATAGGAATAGTTAAAAAAATTGCAAATAAATCTTAAATTACTGAAGCTAAAAAATATCGCGATAAAGTGACTAAAATAAAATAAAATTTAACAACATTTTTAATTATCTATTATTTATAAATAAAACAATAAAATCTTCTATGGCAGCTGAAATAAATTTGTACATGTATTGTACATAACATCGAAATGACACCTCACACTAAGGGTTCCATTAAAATTTCCTAAACTACTAATATATTAAATTACAATTAGAAGGTGACAAAAACTAACGGCTACGTAGTTTTATACGACTTACATTTAGTGCTACACATGATTTATGCATTCACCTACTTTGGCTGGATTCATAAATAAACGATTCAATATTAATTTGCACTTCAAAACAATGATTTAAATACATAGAGCTATTGTTACGTACGTTATGAGTTACGCCCGGTTTACATTATTCCAGTCTAGCGATTGAAATCAACTCTAGATTACAACTGTGAAAAATACATAACCATCCAATAATTCCAGTGAGGGTTTACACTATTCCAGTTGTAATCCAGCGATAATTTTGATCGCTCGATTCAAATAATGTAAGTTAGAAATTATTTTCCATACTTCTGAATACCAACTTTGACAATAAATGACAAGACACAAAATATAATGTAATATTTATGCAATGAACTTCCACTGTCGATAACTCCAATACATATTTTAAGAAAAAACTATTGAATTTTGCTGAGTGACCTATGTATAGAAATCATTTATTTTAAATAATACTGGGATTTTCTGCGCTGATAAGAGAAATGTATCAATAATAGCGCAAATAAAAAAAATCTTGATAAACCTCTTCAAGCTGTAACATAGCAATCGTTTTACTAAATATAATTATCTGTTACAGTTTAAAAAAAAACAGTTAATTTCCTAATACATTTGCGGTGATCTCAATTTAAAAAAAACACAAACTTCAGATCTATAAAATGTAAAATGTTAGAGCAAAACAAATAGGAACTCTCTGCAACATAAAATAAATCAAAACATAAATAATACAAAAAAACACAAAAAAAAACCACTATAACCTCTTTTCTAAACAAAACTATGCCGTTTATGTTATATTCACTCTGCAGTTAAATATATATAAATAGAAAACACAACAGAATCTGCATTTGTATAGACAACTAATTTTTCTTTAATAGGACAATGTATATAATCTATTGTAAATGATCGGAAAATGATATAGCGAGAAGATTACATCTAATCACATTATATACTTATACATAAAATTTAATCAGGAAAGCCTGCGTCAGTGAAGATATATTAGAAATATGAGAACTTCGTAACACTGCACCAACAGTTCACTACTAAAAACATATTTTATGATAAAAACTTTAAATCTAAAATGCCTTCACAATCAATACAAATCTTTAGTTGTTAGAACTAGACTATCTGACTGTTGTTGAAGACGAAAAGAAAAATCAAGAAAAAGCAAAATATTTAATCAACCAGCTAGAGACGAATGGTCCAGCCATTTCTCTAGAAATCATCAAAGCAGTTTAACTGAATTTTGTCATAAAATATTTCAACAACAGTTATGAATTATTTATGTTTTTGAATCATATTTACAAGTCTACGAAGGCATTTAATCTATCTAAAATAAGCGTATTCATGTATATATGCAGTATTACGATAGTTCCAATATCCCATTCCAACCAACGTCAAATTCTAATACCTAATATTAACTACGACTAACCGATTAAGGGTAAATCCCTTGAAATGGCACTGTCTCTTTGATACAACAGGTACCTTGTTTTGTTTAACTGCGTATTTTATTAGTCGCTGTTAAAAGCACATTTAAGCTAAAAGACAAAACATAGCATCATGGAGATTGTTACTACACTGGTCTTACGATTTTTTATATTAAAACATTTTCACAATCAATTCCTAACATTGATAAGTTAAAAAAGGGATCAGTTATCTTAATCGAGACATTTAATATTAATGTATGGATGCTACAATCGTCAAATCGAATAAATCCATACAAGTTTAAAAATGTTAGTAAACTTTGGAAAGTTATATTCAAAAACAAAATTCATTACTTTTATAGTTAAGGTGTAGAAAAATCGATTTGTCAATTAAGATATCCATACGATGGATACAATTGTGATATCCATACATTGTTGGAGATCAGTGAAGTGAGAGTGGGGGGTCGCTGTGTGGGGGGTCAGGGAAGGTAACAAACGTGAG